TTCTGGGGCTCTTTGGAGGCTTGGAAAGCTTCAGAAGAGCCCCAGAAGGTGGCAATTTCGCCCCCTCTAGCCCGGTGGGGAGGGCAGGGTGAGCCTCCAAAGGGTCCTACAGTGTGTTCCATAAGACGGACCTCTCCATAAGGCTCACCAATTTTTAGGAGAAAAAAACATTATTTTTTTCCCGTTTTCATCTCCTAAAAATTGGTGCATCTTATGGAGAGGTGCGTCTTATGGAGCAAAAAATACGGTATGTTTGATCCTTGATGAAAAGTATTCACTGTTTCTTGTTCTTGATTCAGAGTTAAATATATCAGCGAAATTTGCATTACCTATAAAGAGCCTTGAGTAATTTCTGTTCATACCCTTCCTCCCATCCAGAGGGGTAAACATTTTTCAGGTAAGATTTAGATTTGACCTTCTTTGAAAGGAAGATTCCTTCATATAAAGACCTGAAATTGAGCACTGGGAGAGAATGGGAGAAAATATTTTTCTTGATTTCCTCTTTAGCCCTCAGTACTATCTCCCATGCTGCTCCAGACAGCCCCCTGACCCTCAGAGGAGATTCCTGAGGACACACGAGTTGGCAGGGAAAACAGGAAATTGTTCAACTTCCCCATCCTTCAAGGGAGAGCTTTGTGGTTGGGACTCTGCCAGAGGGAAGTGTGGCTCCAACTCATCATATAAATAACTGACAATTTGGCAAACTGTATTTTCAGACATAATCAACAACCACAATTTCACAGATAATTGATGTGGTCTACTACATGTGGTTACTTTATGTTGTCCATTTCAATGCAGTTCCTACTAACCTACCTCACAGGATTGTTGTGAGGATAAAATGGAGAGCAGGAAAGCCATGTATGCTACCTTGATCTCACCGGAGAAAAGGCAAGATATAGATGTAACAATCAAATAAATAAAGCAATCACTGTAAAAGTCAATCTATCACCACCAATTTATTATTGGTCAAAATATATCCTGAAGTTTCTGCTGAAAAACTACTACATGTTAGAGCAGGCTGCGGCACAATTTTCTGTAGATCATACTACTTTTTTGGCTCCCAAAGGTGTTCCCCACACTTTCAATGCGGATTTTATCTGCCATTTTTTAAACTTTTCTATTTCTATTCAAAATGTACGAGGCGACTAACAACATCTTTTAAAACATTTTATGAAAAGAATTTACTTTATTCACTTGCTTACATCCATTCTTTTTATTATGAAGAATTAGTATCAATATTTTATACTGAATGATTTGTTTAAATTGGAACTTAAGCACAGGGGCACGCAGTTGAATATACTTACAAGTTCATGAATATCATTACGGAAGATAGAATGAACACCAATAATAAAAGGTGTGGGTGAACTGAGAACTTCCAGGAGCTGTGCTGGGAGAATTGGAATGTAGGGGTAACTAGAAAAAAAATGAAGACAAAATTAAGTACAGGAACAGTATTTTGTCAAACACCAACTTTCACATTTAATAACTTCCATGTCATTTGTCACAGATCCATTTATATCATTTTAAGCCATCATTTGCATTGCAGTATGCAAAGCACATTTATAGGATAGGATTTTCTATCTGGTATGTATTTTTTGCTTATCTATTAAGTTTTTTGGCATGTACATTTCACATGAACAGCTGAACATAATAGATTCTCTTTAACAAGATGCTTCATGTATTTCATTTTACTATTTTCAAACTCCAAAGTAGCTGAACTGGATCTGATTCTCCTTTGAAACCCATGAAAAGGACTAGGAAACAGAGCTTGGTAGATTGGATGAGATATCTCTTAATCTGGACAATGCTGTTAATACGATTAAATGATCTACCAAAAAGAGCATCCAATAACTTAGACAAACCACCTAAATTAATTCAGGAAGCATTTCTTAAAACTTACCAAAAAATCTAATGTTACATGGCATCTTTAAAAAGTTCATAATTCATGGTTTCCACAAGACTTTAGATTCCTCTATAGATATGTAAGTACTTCCAAATCCAATGTATTGTTAATATATTTCCTGGACATCCCAGCTACTCATACAGTTATGTGGACATAAGACATTTTGATAAACCTGTATCTGAAGAATCAGACTGGTAGAGGAGGCTTTCAGGGATGTAACAGCTACACCTCATTACCAGGGTGAGAGTTCCTCTGTTTTCAAAGAGAATTATGTTCTTCAGTAATGGAGCACTGCTCAGAGTAAGAGGAAGGCATTCATTCATCAGGAAAGGAACCAAGATCTTCTCCTGTCAAAGATATGCTTCTTGCGGGGGGCTTGTGGTGCACAATGAGGAATCCAAGCAGGGATTTGCTGCTGTGAGTTATACCATTTCCCTTCTACTGGTGTAACTACTTAATGGGATTTTGGCTATAGTGGGGGTTTGGTGTTCGTAGTATCAGAGCTGTGCAAGAAAGCTTACCTGTATTTAAGAGGAAACATTAAAGACTCTAGTGCTCTACATGCATCACTCAGTCTTTGGAAACTTGCAGAATGGAAGAGGACTTTATTTTCCGTAAGGACTGCACAGAACAAACTTAGCACGTTTTGAATTCCTTAAAAGAGAAAACAAAAACAAAATTTACAATATATAAATGTACTGCCAAAACAGAAGAATGAAAGATAAAATGAAGCAATTAGCATTTTTGGAATCACTTTAGAGAAATGTATGGTAAGGATATAACATACTACATATTGTACATTTTATCTTTTCCATGCCTTTCAGGTTTTTTTTTCTTTTTCTGTTTTTTTAAAAAACTTGGCCTACTACTGACTAGTTTACTACAGTTGAAATGCTTTTGTAGATCTCTTTCAAGCTATTTGTAGATCTCTTTCAAGCTATTTGATCTTATTTTTGAAACATTGTTGAACAATAACCTGAAAATATATTTTGTACAATTTTTTATGAAGACAGGTTAAGTTATCAAATGAGCTTAACATAATACAGTAGTCTTCACATAATGGGTCTCTAAGGCTGCTAATGTAGACAAAAGAATACAATATACCTTCCTAAACTTATCTGTAAATTATAAACTGGAAAATATGGCTCTGAAGAGCAGCTAGCCCAGTTTATGTAAGAGACTGAAGAAGATGAATATGCTGAAAAACCCAGGTAATTCCTACATGGATTGTATAAATGAATATAATTCTGGTTTTTAACATGTATGTGGATGTGTGCATGGATGTGCAGGGGACTTAGAATTAATATATGAATACAGTGGTCAGTGGACGCAGATGCTTTCTTGTAATCTTGCTAAAAGAACATGCCTGAAATTCAGTAATAAGTTGCAACTAGAGTATACAAACTGAATCAAAGGAAATTATAGAGCAGCTAACTCACCCAATCCGACTGATTCAATGAGTCTACTCTAGTTGTAACTTACTACTGGATTTTAGCCTGTTTTATTCTATAATTTGCTGACAACTGCAGGTTCTGTTAAGAATTAAAAGTATAATACCCCATCTATGGGACCTGTCAAATAATTTGATCATGTCTGTGGAAACAATTCTATACACTTTGTGACTTCAGATATATTTGTGTAAAATCGTCTTGGAACTGCAGTTTATATTCTTAGGAGTTAACAGACCCGGCAATCTTTTAAGATTCAATTTATATACAAAAATACGTAAGTAGGAATTAGGCTTTCAAATTTATTTGACTTCAGTCCTCACATGAGTTTTCAATTATTTGCACACAAAGGCACAGGAAAAGGGTGGGAGGGGATAAATTCTGTAGAAGCTGCAAGGGATTAGGGGACTGGCAGTCTTTATGCCCATTAGTTTTAGTAAGAATGCCTCTAAAATTACCAGTCCCCATAAATCCTCTGAAGCTTCCATGAAGCTAAGCCCCTCCTACCCCTTTCCTTTGTCTTTTTCAGAGGAATAAAATAGCTGACAAAGTTTTCATTCCTCAAGTGTAAGTAAATGAAAATTCTTCTAAGGACTTTTATGTTTGGCTAAAATCCCCAGAATTCTGTGTGGGGGAATTCCTACAGAATTCTGGTGGCTGAAGTTCAAGAAATCTGAAAAACCCATGATTCTCTACTTAAGTATTGCTGACCTAACATATAATTGTTCAATCAAAGATGCTCGGTATGGTAATTGGAAGCACCAATTTATCACAAAAGTCATTTTAAGTAAGCTTTACTAAGTTCTAATGTTTTTAAATATATGGCTATAGAAATACATAAGGAGTTTTCCTTCATTTTAAGGGATTTTATAAAGTAACCTTCTCTCTATTTTGTCAAATTCAGAAAGTATAACACTTTATGCATAATTTTTAATGTATAGAACCTTTGGAACCAAACAAATGGCTGTGATGAGTGGAAGGAGAGAAAATTAGAAACATTAAAAATAAACCTGTCAATCTCCTGGATAGCTTCCATAGAAATAAACTTGAAGCAAGCAAAATATTTAAAACTCATGACACAGCCAGAGGATTTTGTGGCACTCACCCCACCGTCCCCTTCCAAGTGTTTGCTCCCAACAAATTACAACTACTCTGTTTGACATCACTGTTTAACTCGTAACAGGAACTCTTCCTCCTAGAATATATCTTTTACTAAACCAGGCAGACAAGCTATGTTCCTCTTCCACTGCTGCTTAAACAATACTACAGCTCAAGGCTGGATTTATACTGCCCCTTTAAAAAAAAATAGGGACGTGGTGGCGCTGTGGGTTAAACTGCAGAAGCCTGTGCTACAGGATCAGAAGACCAGCAATCATAAGATTGAATCCACGTGATGGAGTGAGCTCCCGTCGCTTGTCCCAGCTCCTGCCAACCTAGCGGTTCGAAAGCATGCAAATGCAAGTAGATCAATAGGGACCACCTCGGTGGGAAGGTAACAGCGTTCCGTGTCTAAGTCGCACTGGCCATGTGACCACGGAAGATTGTCTTCAGACAAAAAGCGGGCTCTATGGCTTGGAAACGGGGATGAGCACTGCCCCCTAGAGTCGAACACCATTGGACAAAAATTGTCAAGGGGAACCTTTACCTTTACCTTTTTAAAAATAGTTTTTTTAAAAAACTCTCTTGGGTGAAGCACAGCCTATGTTATTTTGGTGACATAACCTTGAGAATGAGAAAGTTCAATACTATAAGCCAGAGTTCCCCAAGCTTGTCCGGTCCATGACAGCCTGGTCTGGCCCATGCCACGGATCGGCACCGGGCCAGGGACCAGGGATTGGGGAATGCTGCTATAAGCTGTCAGGTTTTATCATATGCTTGAAATCTCATTTGCTTATTTCTCTCTTTACTGTTCAAACTCTCTCTCTCTCTCTCTCTCTCTCTCACACACACACACACACACACACACACAGAGAGAGAGAGAGAGAGAGAGAGAGAGAGAGAGAGAGAGAGAGAGAGAGAGAGAGAGAGAGAGAGAGAGAGAGAGAGAGAGAGAGAGAGAGAGAGAGATGTAGCTAGTTGAATAGCTTGGTGAGTTTATCTGCAGAGCCAGACATTCAGAGTTCAATTCCCCATGGTCCCTTCTGGGAGAAAAGCCAACCTGTGTAACGTTGGACAAGCTGCAGAGTCCCAGAATACTGTACTCCCAGCAGAAAGGAATGGTAAACACTTCTGAGTACAGTGGTGCCTCACACAACGATGTTAATTGGTTCCAAAAAAATCAACGTTGTGTGAAACATCGTTCTGTGAAACACCATTTCCCATAGGAATGAATTGAAAACCGGTTAATCCGTTCCAATTGGAACGGATTGCCGTCTTTAAGTGAAAAAAACCATAGGAAACATCGTTGAGTGAAACAATGTTTCCTCCATTGGAATGTATTGAAGCCGACTCAATACATTTCAATGGCTTTGCGAAGTCCTTTTTCGCTCCTGTAAAAGTGCCTTACAATGTTTGGAACAGATTTTAAATGCTTGCAATCGTCCGTCCAATGCATTCCAATGAGGGAAAATTCAGAAAATCACTAAAAATTAAGGACGACTCAGAACAACGCCAAATTAAGTTTGCATAGGGTTCAGGAGGTGGGCTACCGATTGCAAGCATTTAAAATCTGTTCCAAACATTGTAAGACCCTTAAAAATGTCAGCATCTCTACAGTAAGGCAGCATAGCAGCCAGCAAGCACACAGTTGCATTCACACACATTCTATTCCCCTCCCAACGAATTTTAACAGATCTTCCTAGAGATGGACACTTACAGTGGTTTGGGCATTTGGCACAGTTCAGCATGTTTCAATGGATTAGCCTGACAGGTGTTGCATGTGTGTCCCGGATTCTGTGCCCGCCTTGTCTCTTCATGTGGGCAACCACTCAGAGGAGCATGTGAGGCAGGGAAGCCTGCAGCACTGTTTCTGATGGGCCACCAATCGGAGAAGGCAGGGCATGGAATCTGAGGTGCCTGTGCACACCTGTGGGCCCAATCTGCTGAACTGCACTGAACCACCAAACCACATGAAGTGCCCATCTCTAGACCCTTCTGGGACACATCCAGCTTACCACTGCAAATCAAAATCCAGCCACAGGTATCAATACATACTTATACACAAAAACACATACAATGTGGAATTTCTGCAGCTCTTCAGATTAGTCATAGGTCAATACATACTAAGACACGTGCCTGGTTACACAGAGAAGGGTCACTTTAGAGATAAAGCAATCCTCTGTCTGCTGGGAAATTGCTCCAGGCCAGGTCCAAAAAGTAGAAGCTCTACAACTGGACCAAAAAAGTACCACTTGGGCATGGATCAGAGTTGAGCTAGAGTGACTTTCGCCATGCATCGTATGATCACGGGGAAATAGACTACACCAGACAGCTCCACAAACAGTCCAAATTGTGCTGTATTTCCTTGTTTGATCACATCCTGAGACTGCTTGTGCCTGGAATTGTGAGAAATGTAGTCCAAAAAAGTAACTTTTGTGATTCAAATTAAATTTTGACTTCACAATTAAAATGGCCTCACAAGGGCTTACATCATACTGTAAATAAGTGTTGAGCCTGCCAGTATCAGGACGGGATATTTAAGTCTACCACAGTCATATTTTGTTGCAGAATCCACATGGACCTAAACCTAGAATGCAGGCACTGTATTGTGTTGTCACTTTAAAAGTAATAAAGTTCTGCAGTTTCAGCTACTTGTCATGCAGTTGTTGTTGGCCTCACAAGGGCTTACATCATACTGTAAATAAGTGTTGAGCCTGCCAGTATCAGGACGGGATATTTAAGTCTACCACAGTCATATTTTGTTGCAGAATCCACATGGACCTAAACCTAGAATGCAGGCACTGTATTGTGTTGTCACTTTAAAAGTAATAAAGTTCTGCAGTTTCAGCTACTTGTCATGCAGTTGTTGTTATTATTTAGTCGTTTAGTCATGTCTGACTCTTTGTGACCCCATGGACCAGAGCACGCCAGGCCCTCCTGTCTCCAACTGGAGTTGGGTCAAATTCATGTTGGTAGCTTCAATGACACTGTCCAACCATCTCATCCTCTGTCGTCCCCTTCTCCTCTTGCCTTCACACTTTCCCAACATCAGGGTCTTTTCCAGGGAGTCTTTTCTTCTCATGCAATGGCCAAAGTATTGGAGCCTTA